TTCTTCCACACTAACCTCTACATCTATGCCAAATTGCATCCAGATCCGTTCAGCCTATCAGGCTACAAATTTTAACAAACATCCATCCAAACTTTCACATATATATTAGTGAGATTATTTTATTGTTTACATTTGCGAAACTCTCATTTCAAATGACAATGAAGATCTTTGACTTTGGATAACTACCGTTACCATGGCAACCTTACTTGATGTCACCTTGTAGTTTTTGTCTTTGTCCTGCATTAATTTTTTTATCTAAATTATTTACTCTCCAAGTTTAATAGCTTGGAAATAAGTAAACGACATAAAGCGTGTCGTAAATGTACGGCTTTTTAGAAAAGTATTATTCCAAAACATACTGTGATTGCTGATTTGCTACATAACTGAATAGTGTGTTTACAATTTATTATATTAGTGTAGAAAAGCTATTAAATAGTTTACTAATGGGGAATATTTCTTTCTCTCTCTCTCTCTCTCCAGATGTGAGTATTCTAACATGTTTACTGCGAGCGCCAGCGTGGCTCTGTTCGGTCTGACTGTGTTCTACAGCGTGGCGATATTCGGCCTCTACCTCTCCGACACCTTCCACGTGGAGAGACGCAACCAGGACGCGCCCCTGCCCCCCAACTAACCCCTCCACATTAACGACAATCTAAAACGTTGCTTAATGTACAATCAGGGAATCTGGCGGTGTTACACTTAAAAAGCTTGTCGTTAAAATGTTTTGCCACCAATAGGACCTAATTTTTGAGCATACAAAAAAGGTCAGTCTTTGGTACATGGTTAATCAAGATATTATCTTTTCGCGTTTTTTGCGTACTGTTATCTAATTGTTTTTTTGTAATAGGAGGAGTTTCGTCTCGAATGAGTTTTTCTGTACGTGTAACACCGCGGATTTCCGCCACTGTACACTCGATCTTGATTTTCTACACATTGTTGGTCGAGTTAATCATTATTACGGGGTAAATGTCCCTAATGGTGATAGATTGCTACATAACATTCAAGTGGTAATCAAATTAAAATCCTCGACTACAGGTTACGACGTTTAATTTGACGGTGTAATTGTAACCTTAATAAAACGGGATTTAATCTCTCGGTAATTTTGCTTTTTAAATATCCATAGACGATAATATCGTCTAAGAGCGGACGCACTCCTTTGTCTAAACTATCGCACAACTGTTGTGCGATTGTCGATTGTTTCGCAGACAATTAGTCTTGGGCTTAAACGGACATGCAAGTGCGCACTTTACTAGTACAATTGGGAAAACGTACTAGTACACACTTTTAGTACCTTTAGTACTTCATATTTGTAAAAACACTATACATGAATAACGAGGGTTATAGATTACTTCACATCAAATTTTAAGCAGGGTCAAACATATGTTATTAGCGAAAACAAATTTAGTTATGAATGATTTTATCCACTTTTGATTCTCGTCATCAAAGGTGGATGCTTTAATCTGGCAAATACTCAATCAAATCAAACAACGAAGAGGCGAACACCGATATCGTGTAGTGTACTAAAAGTACTAAATGTCCGATTAACAGAAGAAGGTAAAGTTACTTTTAGTACAGTCTATCTATCTATTTCTTGTTTATGGCTCTCCCACAGCGGATTGGGACAGTGTCAAGTGTTTGTGGTTTTATTTTAGTACAGTTCCGAGTAACATTACTTTTTAGTACATCGTACGTGTACTACCCAAGACTACAGACAATTCAACTGTTTAGTTGCACATTGGAATCAAAGCGAGACTATTGTACGATAATTTAGTAAAACGTGCGCGCGCTCTAAGAATCATTTATACGAAATATGCTTCAAGCAATAGTAATTGCAATTTACAACAAATGAAGCGAGATTTGACTTGTATTTGTCCTTTTATTTATAAACAACATGCACTTTAATATTGTCGTTTATAAATACTTAAATGTAAAACGGATATGTCTTGTTTGTTTATTATTTTGCAATCTTACTGTTGTTAGTTGTACTCGGATACTTTGAAAATGGCTAATGGAAATCAACTTTTCTTTTAAAATTGGTTAATTTTAAAAAATTTCTAAACTACTGACTATTTTTTAAAATTGTTCTAGTTAAATTGTTACGTTTCTCATTGTATTATGTTTAAAAATAAATGTTATATTTGTATGCTAAGAAAATGACGGGAATAGAAAACATTTTATGGTGAAACAAATTTGCCAGAGTATTGAAATTTTCTGTACTTGTTATCTTTATTCAATGTAAATACCGTGTTTCAAAAGTGGCATTTTCTATAACCTATGTTACATTTCTTTGTATATATTATTTTATAATTTCATTATTTTGTTATAACTCTTTCTTCAACGTCAACCTTAAATAAAAATGTTTAATGTTTTAAAGTTTAAAATCATGGTACAAAAGTAATTTTATTTGTTCCAACAAAATTTCCGAAACAGAATATTAAAAATGATAAGAGGTCTTTATCAAATTTATTATTAAAAAATAATTGCTACTGAACATTCCAAAAATATGTTTCTACTGAAAACGGCAAAAAAATAGATCAATTGAGTAATATGCCTAGAATAGGCAATTCTAGACATACTGGTACATTATATCATTTGACTATACTTTAAAAATTAAAAAAAATGTATTGCCTTGCTGTTTCTGTCTATCCCAATGTATTTTAAATCCGTGAAAATGTACATTTGTTTAAACTACAATTTCTAGAATGTTGATGTCTTGACTTTTCTTACGACGATATATGTTATACGAATATATTAAATGCAGTTCATATTGTGATAATGAAAATACGGCCGAATACTAAAACATTTGTATATGTAACAGCGTCGTAAATGATAAAACCACACTTAAACTCCCAATTACATAAAAAAATTGATCTCTGTCGAAGTGTTAGATTCTTTTAGTATTCGGTCGTTAAAGAAGCAAGATTTTCAAGTAATTTGTTACTGTATCTAGTAATTTGTTCAAATTCTCTGGTATAAAGCAGTCACAATGACATGAAAGTAAATGCTTGCTGCGCAGACATTTAAGAAATATATAGACTGGATATAGGGTACATTTTTTCACCTGTAACGTAATATCTCAATTTGACACGCCGAGACTCTATGTGTTGGAAGGTTTTTACTATCGGATACTACTAGCTCTAGTGAGATTACGTGAAAAATGATCAGAAGTATCAACTAAGCATCCTCTATATATTTCTTGAATCTCTTTGTTGCTACGTCACACGTGTGTGTAGCGTCGAAGGTTCTGTGACGTCATAGCTGTTTGTAAACTTTGAGGTCTCAGGTTATTATATTGGAGTAGTTGTCTTTGAGGTTATGTTAGGCGACTATTGTATTCGCTTATTTATTTAAAGTTATCTCATTATGCTTTCACTCGTGTTTGTGAAAAATGTCTTGTAAATATTATCAAAAAACATTGTTTTTTAGGTTTGTCTTACAAACCAGTATCATAAAGAATCATGTCTTTAATTGTTTGCACATTAAAATATATTTTCAGACTTGTAGCACTAGACACTATCTGGTTTGAGTATTAGAAATGTCTGATATATTCGGTGGTCTGTAATGCAGTAGTTTCATAGCTTACTATGCTTTAATATTTGTAAATATATGCTTTTTGTACGCCACAAGCAATGTTTCAATTTCTTAAAATTTTTAGTTTTAAGTTCTATTGTCGGAATAAAATAAAGTTCCATAATAATCGTATTTGTATTGTAATTTTCTAGGCTCATTATAGTTTTTATTGTAATTTAATTTTAAGATTCTAAAATTATGAATAAACTATTAACTTCATGTTTATATCATGTCTCACTTTGGTAATAAAATTAGTCTTGTACCAACAACTATAACGAAAATTATAGAAAAAAAACCCTTTGCATTTAACTATTCTTTATAAATTACTGCGAAATCGAATCTAATCGATATTGCATCAACAGTATAAAAACTATGGGGTATCCAAAAAAAACCTTCCTGTTATAATCATTTTGGAAAGTATATCAGTAACATACGGAAATAAAAACTACAAAATTGTTTTAAAAAAATAATTTATTTTTAAACAGGTAATTAAGCTATACATTTTGTATACCTTTGGCTTGAGCATTAAAAACGTTTGCAGTTTTGCACATCATACCTGTGAAAGAAAATTCAATCATGAGATACTATTTCTTAAAAATTAAGTTGACAAAGTTTGCAATAATACTTTGTTGCTCGCCGGATTGAGGTTTATTGAAAATTTAAATAACAATAACCTCACCTAGACGAGAACAATTATCTCTCCAAATTACTTAGCCTCATTAAAATTATTTAATAAGAGAATAGGAAAATAATTTGGATGGTAATTATTATATTATTCAATTCTTATTTAACAAAAAAAATTACCTCAATATGTGTTTTCTATAGATACAAGACCTGAAATTAAACAAAAACAATTATTACACAATAGCCTATATAAAATTATTAATATTTTTTTTAATATTTAGTTCAGCCATCCAAGGAAGTTAATAATGCGGTGGTAATCATGGTTTGCGCATTCATAAATGCATTATCATCATTTTAATTATTAAAAAGTCTTCTAGTATTCATAAGTTCTTATAAAATATGGAAAAGGAAACTATATTAGGAATAAAATATTCACCTTTTCAATCATAATCCAGTTCAGACTTTAAAACCAACTGAAAAAATATAAATGTTAAATTAAATCTTTAAAAAGTGTAGATTTAAATAAATAAAAATTACATTTAATACTTACAAAGACTTGAATACAAATATCAGGATTTAAGTAAATAAATAATAATTGTTGTAGTAAATATTTATTTCCCACTTCATACTATCAGTCTGAATAAAACAAACATCAAGCCAGAAATGGTATTTTGTATGTTTATCGTTTGCGGTGCAGCTGTAATGTGTTTCTGCGGATCCAGGTAGCTTTGCGAGAACCTCCCTTGGTCTGCGAGAACCTGTGACCCTTGCCAAGACCACGAGAACTCCTGCCAGCGGACGTGAGACCGCGCATCTCACGATGCTTGTGCACCGCATTCACTATCCAGTTGATCTTGGGATCACGTCGGATAGCCTGAAATGTTGCTAGTGTTATTATGTGACTACTGTAATGTTATCTTTGGTAATGTTTTGTATTAATCAGATAATATGGTAGGTGATTTTACATCAAAACCTTTCAGATTGGTGCATGACAACTGAACTCATCATAGAAATTAAAACTAAGATCCACATGGTTTAGCTAATAGCTAGATGCAATGCTTTTAGTAAAATTTAAAATAAATCATGTCTAAACAAAGCACTATGTTTAACACTTTTTGTACTACCTTCAAAATGTCATGTGGTATTAATAAATGTAGGAAAATACTTTATTCAGGACAGACCATGTGCTTAAATAAAATTACCTTGTGTGAAGGATCAACAAGGATAACTTCATAGTATTTGTAGGAGGAATCTTGCGCGACCCAGTAAGAGTTCAACACTCTCAAGCCTCCACAACGGCGGCCAACACGCTCCTGTAAGCAAACAAAATATTATTTGACGCTGCTATGTATAAATAATTGCTATAACAATCACACTAAATTGAAATTTTGGCCAAAGCCGGTTGTTACTAAGAACACGTTACCTCGGCAATAGACTGCAAGTTGCGTGTAGGTTTCAGTTGGTTGACACCGTGGCTCTTGGGTTTGCCGTAGGTTGCACCCTTGGCAACTGGGCGTTTGCGGCCACCACGGCGCACGCGGATTCTGAAGATCACATAACCTACAAACATTAAAAACATGATTAGTACACTCCACAATGTAATAATTTGCTAACCAAAATAACAGAGAGCAATTGATAACTCACCTTGCTTGGCACGGTATCCAAGTCTCCTGGCTTTGTCGGGCCTTGTAGGCCTAGGAGCACGATGCATACGAGTCAGTTGGCGATACTGCCATACTCTTACACGCAATAGAAAACGCATAACATCGCTCAATTTTTTTCGGTACAGCTCTTGAATATATCTGTACGCACCCATCTTGGGAAGCCTGTGGCAGACCTAGCAACAAAATCAATAACAATTGATCAGAAGTCACATCATCGGTCTGGCCACAAATAGAGCGATTTGAGACCCGCCAGGAATGACATGCTGTGACTAATAAAACTGCAATGAGATAAATTAGATGAAACATATTTAACGAAATACGATAGCACTATTTTACTAAACATTGTACTTTGTAAAACTGTATATCAAGAGTTAAAAATACACTTGGATTACTAGAGAAATTAAAGATTAAATTTACACATACGTCTCACACACTCCACAGGTAAACCGGAAAAGAATAACAGAAAACTAAACGGATGTCGAATTTGTTGCAAAATTAAACCATTGACAACATAACCAATTTCGGTGTTGCCGCTTAAAAGTTTTCAAATTGTACAATCTAAAGTTAGATGAGACAAAATGAATATTATTGTGTGTAGATTTAAGTCATAGGAATACATAGGAGGCGAGGCTAAAATAATTCACACAATCTGTAGGTAAATGCCGTCTACTTTTATTCTCGACATGACAAACACCGTTTTTTTGCTGTTGTAACATTTACTCATTCATAGAGATTATTTGGTAGAAAAATTATTTTAAAACTCTTGATTGAATTGAAATCATGAAAAGTTTAAATAAATAAATAAATGATTACAATTTTTTTAACTGTCGTAAATTAACAATTAAAGTATTGATTGCGAAATTAAAAAAATGTTCGTTACAATTTTCGGACGGAAACAACGGTTAAGTAGTTTTTTTTATAGTAAGCTGCCGCCATCTTGAAGGCGTAATTGTTGTCATGTTTACGTTGTGTGTGAAAGGTGATTTTTGTAATTCTTGAAATAATAACTAGGTAAAACGTTTAAACTGTGAATATTTTTACAATGAAGTTCATTAAATAAATGGTGTGATTCGGTTTTAATGAAATTGTGTTGAAAAAACCTAAATGTGTACAGTACCAGAATAGGCGCCAAATTGATGTCGTTAATGATTTTCTCACTTCCTTTCATGTAATAATATAAATACCCACATGTTTTTAATTTGAATTAGTGGCAGTAATGGTTATATTGTTTTTTTTAGACCGAGGTTAATGTAAGAACTTGGATCAGGTGAATTACAAAAATGTTTTACGCACATTTTGTGCTGGCCAAAAAAGGCCCTCTGGCCAAGATTTGGCTGGCGGCACACTGGGACAAAAAGTTAACTAAGGCTCATGTTTTTGAAACGAACATTGAGAAGTCTGTCGATGGAATCCTTAAACCAAAGGTCAAAATGGCCTTGCGGACGTCAGGCCATCTGTTGCTTGGAGTCGTCAGAATTTATTCCAGAAAAGCAAAATATTTACTTCAAGATTGTAATGAAGCCTTTGTTAAGATCAAGGTGAGATTCTTTGACTTTGACAGGTAAATATTGGATAGGTATAACAACAAAACAGTTGTTATGTATGGCACAAATATAAAATACACTTACAGTTATCAACAACAAAACTGTTTTGTGGATAATTGTTGCATTTTCTAAAGAGTTCAAACAGTATAAAATTTGGTGCCCAAGAAAAACTTATTTAACAAAGTAACACTATTCTAAAGACTAGGATTAAAGGATAATTTTAGTATGACAATAAGTACCTCATTTGTACATACAACAAATATTTCCAAAAGCATTCTCGGCACAAGGCTGAACAATTTTATTTTATTATTTGTTTACATATTATTTGTACTGGTAAAATGGAAGGAATCTTATACAATCATGATTTCAATAAATGCTTCAGATGGCCTTCAGGCCTGGTATGGTGGACTTGCCAGAGGAGCACCGAGAGGCGGCCATGAATGCAATCACATTACCTGAGGTTTTTCATGACTTTGACACTGCAATGCCTGAACTTAAGTAAGTTATCATGTGTTCGCAAATGTTTTTGCAACTATTGCTTATGATGTTAAATAAAATAAATAAAATATGGTTTAGACAAATAGATGTTGATTGTGAATTGTTTTGTACAGAGAATTAACACTTTTTATAATATCAAAAAATAGTAAGTCGGTCTATAATTGTTATTTATTATTCCAATTGCAGTTGTGCTATACTACAAACATGTTATTAATTAATTACTTACCAAATTCTTTTATAAAAATAATTTACTGCAATAATACATTTAAATGTATTATATTGTTTAGGTAATGTTTGAATGTAATCATTTTTATTCACCATCCAGTGAAGTGGACATTGAGGCACAGTTCTCACTGAACCAGTCGAGAGCTGAAGAGATCACGATGAGGGAAGATTATGGTTCTCTGAATCTTGTAACACATGATGATGGTTTTGGAGATATGGGATTTGATACTGATAATCCTGATATAATGAGAGAAGCTATTGGCAATGGAGGTGGTTTGGAACAGGTAATACATACTAATATTATAAAGAGGAAAACTTTGTATTTTTGCATGCATTGAAATAAGTAAAAAACTACTTAGCCAATTTTAAAAATTCTTACACTGTTAAGGTAATTTCTGTAAGTAAGATAGGCTATATCTTTAAATTTCATGTGAACTATCTTGCTAGCAATTTTATTATAATTTATTATAATATAGTTTATAATAACTTTGTTTAAATGTTCAATATATCAAACAAATTTTTACTGTGACCGCTAGTTTTTAGTAAGAGACTTTTTAGTACTGATTTTTTTTGCTCTATGTCAGTATTAAGTTATTTGACTAAAATAAGATGAAGTACAAACAGTAAAATAGGTTTTATTTCAAATTATTTTATGTGTTGATATGTGAAGCAAAAGATTTCTACTTATTTCTAGGAAAATTGTTACACTACTAAAATTGACACGGAAAATATATCCATAAATATTTATTGAAATATGTGACTATGATGGTATTTATTGGTATTGGTGATAGAAAAATATAGTTAATGTGGAGAAAGCTTTTTTAAATGGCCTAGTGATCATCACACAGGGTACCATAGTTTAGACATCAGTCCCCTGTCCAAAGGGGATATTAATATAGTTTTTTAATCTTTCTATGTACTATGGTGGTGTTAATATGAATGGTTAATAGAATCTTTTGTCTCTGTCAGAGTAACTTGTTGTTCGCGGATGGGTCGTCGCTGGAGCTGGGCGGCAAGGAGGCGGGGCCGAGCGCGCCG